CTGGAAATGATACCAAAACAGTTTAAGAAAAATGTTAACAGGAAATTTATCAGGCTGGAAGCTGCCATTGTTTCCCATTCTCACCATTACAGTGTTTGGACGTGATCTGATTGGTTGTAAATTGAGTGAACAATTCTTTTTGTAGCCAAGTTTAGTTTATAAGTCAGTTATGTAAACGTATTACGCTGCCTGACACAGAAATCTTGTCACTTACTGTATAGTTTGAGTTTTTAAAATTCTGCAGATCAATCAGTCAGTCTTCAGAGACTTTCACTGACTTGACTTTGCATTGCTGTCTGTGATATCTGCAGCGCAACTGCATTGCTTACTATAGCGATTAATTTTATGTCCTCACTTCTCACTAAAATGGGTCGAGAATCTGAGTTTTAAACAGGTAAACAGAGTCCACATAACATCTCCTCCTCTGAGCCCCATTTCCTGTCATTAGCATCTCTTAGTCAAGCAGCTGCTTTTCATTATTTACATTACAAGTAAACGCCTAAGGCATTTGTTTTTTACTGATGCCATTTGGTGGATAGCGCTCAGTGTGTTTACATGCAATCAGGTTACGTAGAGCACCCAAGTAAAGTTAATGAGAGAATGCTTTATATGCACTGTAATAATGTGGTAACTTTTTGTGGCTTACTGAAATCCATGCACGGCTCTCTCTTAGTGAAAATGCACAAAGTAGCAAGGCTAAATGGTAGAAAAACAGAAATCAAAACAGCAGTGTATCTGGGATGTACTGGATTTTTTGTATCTGTGTCACAGGTGCAGTCAGAAGAGGGCTCTCCTTACAGTGCAAATGTGTCTGATTTTTAACAAATAGTTCAACCTTTAGCAGTCAATACTGACTCGTTTTGACTTCCTTATGTTATTCAAGCTAATGGAGTGAGTGTGGTGTTTTGATCAGACATCGATTCCTGTCTAATCAAAGATGGGAAATGCCATAAAGACTTTGCTTCTCTTTTTCTGGAGAAGCAGTGTTTATCCATGCGAACATTCAGACCAGTAACAGCCAGCAAAACATGGAAGATGCAGGGTAGCATTTTGTTATTTCACGTGATATGGGACATTCAGTTTGAGGAAAAGATCTATGATACTGAAGGCTTATCAGATCTGGAAAGCAATCACAGTGACCATTATGCTCTAAACGACTTAATTGCGTAATGTCTCCTGGGTTGAGGCAGTGCATGTTCTAATTCAACACATATTCCCTGCAAAAAAAATACTGTAATACTTGCTTCAGGACAAACATGATGCTGTCTTAGGATCATATGTCCTTGAGTCGAGGGTTGGCACCACTATTTTATTTCTTGCATAAAATATTTTAACTTTTGAGAAATGTTTTCTTGCTTAGCCATTAAAACTACCGAGTTTAGGTTTGCATAGGTTATAAAAGATCATGGTTTAGGTTACAACAGACCCAATAGGCAGTTTGACAACTGTAGCCACCCTATGATTAATCCTCCGTTTCCGGGGTTACCAGTTTTGGCCCTATGGCTGGTTTGCTGAAACCTGCAAGGATATAAATGTCAAAATGTGCTCATTATAAATGTTCTTGTGAATTATTTTCGGGAAAGCAAATTACCCTTGAAACGTAACTGAGAAACAATTTAGCACTTTAAGCCACAAAGGCTTGTTGCTCATTGATTGTACCTGACGGTTGATTGCTAGGGGACATTCTAGTGTTCTAATGGTATTTATCACATGTCAATCAGCAGTGTCCTTTGCTTTCATTGGTAGTTCCTTCAAAGGCTCACCTTTAAGTTAACAAAAGCTTAACTGTGGACCCTTCATTGCATGAAATCTGAAAAACACTCATTTCTGTGTCTGACTGAGCCTTATTATGCATTTCTTCTTTCTAATATATATATATATATTTTTATTTCATTTTAGGTAATGCACGATAAAATTATATGCCTTCCTCAAAGAATATCATTGCCTTCAGACAACAGCAGTGAAGTAGGGTTGAAGTCACCATTACATCTGCAGTCCAACACCTCAACTGTACCAACAGGCCTGAAGACCAATCTAGATCTTCAACAGTACAGTTTCATCAACCAAATGTGCTATGAGAATGCCTTGCATTGGTATGCCAAATACTTTCCCTATTTGGTGCTCATGCACACTTTAGTTTTCATGGTGTGTAGCAACTTCTGGTTCAAATTCCCTGGCTCAAGCTCTAAAATAGAGCATTTTATCTCTATGCTTGGCAAGTGCTTCGACTCTCCCTGGACCACACGAGCTTTGTCGGAAGTGTCTGGAGAAAATCAAGAAGAACAGGATCATAAAAAGGGCACCGCTTCTAGGTCTAACATTCCTATGTCTCCGGGGGAAGGCAGCCTCGAGAAGACGCAGTCCCTGCGTTCTATTGCCGAAAAGATTGTTGTTGACCAGCCATCAGCAAGTGTTCTTGATAAAAAGGAGGGTGAACAAGCTAAAGCTCTGTTCGAAAAGGTGAAGAAGTTCCGTTTGCATGTTGAGGAAGGAGATATCCTTTACCTCATGTATGTTTGCCAGACTGTATTCAAGGTGTTTAAATTCCTTGTGATCATTGCTTATAACAGCGCTCTAGTAAATAACGTAAATAACACAGTACGTTGCAACGGTATCGAGGAGATCCAGAACATGACAGGCTACAAAGTCTTTGAATGCAATCACACCATGGCTCATCTCTTTTCTAAGTTGTCTTGCTGTTACCTGTTCTTGGTGTCTGTCTATGGATTAACAAGCCTCTACACCTCCTACTGGCTGTTTTACCGCTCACTGAAAGAATACTCATTCGAGTATGTGCGACAGGAAACGGGCATCAGTGACATCCCAGATGTCAAGAATGACTTTGCTTTCATGCTTCACATGATTGATCAGTATGACCCACTGTATTCCAAACGATTTGCAGTTTTTCTCTCCGAAGTCAGTGAAAACAAACTGAAACAGCTCAGTCTCAACCATGAGTGGACTGCAGAGAAACTGCGTCAGAGACTCCAGACCAACTCCAACAACAAACTTGAACTACAGCTGTTCATGTTCTCTGGTTTACCCGACACTGTCTTTGAACTGACAGAGCTGCAGTCACTCAAGCTGGAACTAATCAACAATGTCACCATCCCTGCCTCAATCTCACAGCTGCAAGATCTTCAGGAGCTGTCTCTTTACCAGTGCTCTTTAAAGTTGCACACAACTGCTACGTCCTTCCTCAAAGAGAACCTGAAAGTGCTTCGTGTGAAGTTTGATGACAACAGAGAATTTCCAAACTGGATGTATGGCCTGCGAAATTTAGAGGAGCTCTATCTTACTGGGTCCCTCAGCTCTGATGCCTCCAAGAATATAGTTCTTGAGTCTCTGCGGGAAATGAAGTGTCTCAAAATACTCTCCCTTAAGAGCAGCTTAACCAAGATACCCCAGTCGATTGTGGATGTTTCCAGCCATCTGCAGCAACTCTATTTACACAACGATGGCACTAAGCTAGTAATGCTCAACAACCTGAAAAAGATGACCAATCTAATAGAGCTGGAGCTAGTACGCTGTGATCTGGAGCGCATTCCGCATGCAGTCTTTAGCCTAACAAGTCTGCAAAAGCTTGACCTGAAAGAGAATAACCTTCGTTCGATAGAGGAAATTGTCAGCTTCCAGCATCTGCGGAAGCTCACTTGCCTCAAACTCTGGTACAACAGCATCATGTACATCCCAGAGCATATCAAAAAACTCGGCAGCTTAGAGCACCTCTACTTCAGCCACAACAAGATTGAGATATTGCCCTCACACCTGTTCTTGTGCAACAAGCTGCGCTACCTGGACCTATCCAACAATGACATCCGTTTCATTCCTCCAGAAATCGGAGTTCTTCAGAGCCTGCAGTACCTTTCTGTCTCTTGCAACAAAATTGAAAATCTACCAGATGAACTGTTCTTTTGCAAAAAGCTGAAAACGCTAAAGCTTGGCAAGAACTCGCTGTCCAAACTCTCGCCAAAAATATCCTATCTAGCTCTTCTGACCTACCTGGAGCTCAAAGGCAACCACTTTGAGTTCCTGCCACAGGAGCTTGCTTTCTGTCGCGCTTTGAAGCGCAGTGGCCTTATAGTTGAGGAGACACTGTTTGAAACTCTGCCTTCAGATGTCAGGGATCAAATGAAGGCTGAGTGAGATGCCTTATTGTAGCCGTAGTGCCTGCTGTTTGTTCTGTCTATCAATTCAGAGCATTTGTTTAATATGAAGTCATTGTTATATTTAAGCATTATAAACATGCTAGAGATATCTTTTTGTTCTTTTGTTTTATTAACTGAAGGAAAATGACATATTCATCTATTGTCACATTGAGTGTGGCTGCTGCAGGGACACTTTATACGGCCACTACTCAATCTTAAAGAGAGAGTTCCGCGTTATGAGAAAGTGTTCCTTTTCTTTCTAAAAGTTTTAAGAAAAGTTTTATTTTAGTCTCACATCTGTCTATTAATCAGTAGTCACTGATACAGCCAGGTCAGCTCTTTCTCCCTGAAGTCTCTGATAAAATAACTCTCTGCTGCCTCTAGCTTTATATACATAAAGTGATATTGATTTTTCTCTTTTATCTGTGGAGAAGGAAGAAGCTTATTTCCCATATTGTTAAAGCCTTTCTGCAAAGCCTATTTCCAGTCACTGCATCATGACTGAATGTAAATCTTCACATTCATGACCACACATTTATGTGTAGGCCAGTAGCCTTAGGCTGTACTGTATATATTTAGATCTAAGAGACTGTTACTTCACATGGATCACAGGAAAAGAGGAAAGTACTTATGAAATATACATAGAATCTAGAAACTTAGAATGAAACTAGAATTAAACAGTTCTCTATTGTAGGAAGCTGTCATTTTAAAGTGCATTAAAAGCCTGAAGGATGATGTCACACTGGTCTTTGTCTTTGTCTCTAAGTGTGAGCAAAAAATATGCAGCGTAAGAAATATGCATTTTCATGAACAGTATTTTTATGTCATTGACCAATAAAATTTGAGTTTTTAAAAAAATGTCATTTGGAATTTTTAAATGTCAGAATATTGCAAATAAAATGCAATACAATTTTGATTCTATTGGTTTACTGACCAGTGATGTAAAATCTAAAGCGTCTAAAAGAGGAAACAGCACAAAGGACAATGTCCTGTATTCAACTGTGTTGTTGGATGAAGCATCACCTGCTGGCTGTTGAGGATTAATAACTGTAAAGAAGATTATTATTGAAAGTCCACAGGGCCTCAGATAAAAAAAATATGTAGTTGGTATGAAGTGTCTACAAAATATTTCGATGGTTATCTCGGAAAAACATTCAAGCTCAATAAGATTTTTTATTTTTTAAAGTGATGTTATTTGATTCAGCAATTATGAAAATGCTTTGCATCTACAAAAAAAGGAAAATGAAAGAAATCTTATCTCACAGTTATCACATGGTATTTAGTAATTACAAGCCCATGAAATCTTCTACCCATAAATTGTAAGCTGTAATTACAAGATGTGGTCACATGTTTTTTCCTTTTGGTGAATGCAATGTGCCTTTGTAAACAAAGGGGGCTTGGTTGCAGCTGTCAGTAAAGATTTTTTTATTAATTAAAAGGTGTAATAAAAAAGGGCTCGCATGTTCCCGTTTGAAAGTGAAGGCTGACAATCAGAAAATTGAGTGTTTTCTTGCACTTTTCTGGTAAACCAGTTTTAAATGTGGCGTTTGCACTTTTGCCACGGTCCCTAACTTCAGTGGGTCATCCTGCACTTGCTGTCAATTGAAACAAGGGCTTCAAAACGCTCAGTGCCGTCGTATCAGGTCCTGATGTGGAACAGAAAACATGCGCAATATTAGGGAAGATTTCACCTGCGCATAAAAGATGCACAGTTTCGCGGACCTGGTGCAAAGTCCTGAGGTGGTCCGGCCCCGGTGAACGAGCATATCAAACAAACGGTGTTCACCTCCAGCAGCTGGTGCTGCCGTGCCGGGCTGTTTCGCCCAGTCAGAGGCAGAGGACCGTACCATCTGAAGCCGAGTAGGGGTAGTCAGATAAGCTGCTTACAGCTCTGCCGGCAGGCCCACGGTTGAACTAGTGCGAAGAATGGACGGATTCATCTCATCAGGGAAACATGGCAAGTGAGAAGAGGCGTTGTTCGGTACTGCTGGCATCCGCAAAACCGGATCAGACTCCCTGAAGGTGAGTATGCGGCTGTTTTGAGTGTAAATCATCTAAGGTCTTTAAATGTAGCCGCAGTGCGTTGGCTCAATAACGTTAGCAGGCTGTATGGTGTTATGAAATTTAGTGGAGCTGGACAGAGAATTAAACCTGCACGGAGTGTACTGTTTTAATGTGAAGGTGATTTTCTGCAGCCGAAGATTTTTTGTGCTGCGTTTAAAGGCGTCACGTACATCCCCCACCCCTTGTTTTGAGTGCATGGATGCGTCTTGCTGCTGGAGCCGGTATCAGCCTGCTCTGCAGCCCCATGGAAAACAGTGACCTTCATGCTTTAACCACAACAGATTTATTCGCAGGGGTAAACGATTATATTTAGTTTTTTTTTTCTTTAAATAGCAACACCGAAGCAGCTGTTTGTGTATCACGTGTTTTCAGTGCTCAAACAGTATTCAGCATGTTGAGCCTCTCTAGAGCCACTATGACAGTGTCACGGAGTAAAGTGCAGAGAAAACCAGGCACAGAAAAGAGACGCAATAGATGCTTAGGATTTACAGCTGCTCTGCAGACAGCACCGTTTGTTTTGCACACTGACATCTCATATCATCTGTCAGTTCAAGTGTTGGCTCCTCTCTAAAGCTACAATCCCAAGAGGCTGTCTTCTCTGAGTCTGCTCTAAATGTTCCTGAGAAATGTAGCTGTAGCTGAAATTTGAGACAGGGATACTAGCTGTGCATTTTTTCACTAAACCCCTAATGGATCCAGCTTTACGAGAATAAATGTGATTGCAGTGGAGTCAATTTAATGTAAGTGAACAAAAGGCAGGATTAACGGTTAGAAGGTTGCACTTGGACCAGTTAAATTGCAATTGTCCATTACAGCGTGACATCTACAACATGTCACCTCCCCAATTTCTTTAATTCTTTAAGTCAGGGAACGCTTTTACAGAGTACCATTGGGATGAGGATATCTGTAAACAGCTTACAAGGTACATCTAAGACTCCTTCATGTGTGGGTTTATTATGGACCGAGACATTATGTGAAAACAATTCAGTACAAAAACATCAACTGTTATATAATCCTATGCACATTTTCTTACTAAAGTTGTTTTCTGTTGCAGGAATGTTCACGCTCACAGAAGTAGCCTCCCTGAATGACATCCAGCCAACTTACAGAATACTGAAGCCATGGTGGGATGTCTTCATGGATTATCTTGGTATTGTCATGTTGATGTTGGCCATATTTTCTGGAACGATGCAGTTAACTAAGGACCAAGTGGTTTGTCTTCCCATTCTGGAGCAAACTCCAGAGCGGTCCGGGGGTTTCTTGGAACCTGAAGCACCAGAGCCAACCAATGGCTTTTGGAACAAAGAGAGTGCCATTGGGGAGCAAGCTGCTCCTCTCATGGCTAAAAGGCCTCCCGATAGCGTCACGCCTACCATTCACTTCACACAGCCAGCTACCATCGGACAGCCCTATCCTACAGGCGTCAGGACCAAGCTGGATTTTCAGCAGTATGTTTTTGTCAACCAGATGTGCTACCATGTCGCCCTACCTTGGTATTCAAAATATTTCCCATACCTTGCCCTAATTCACACTATTGTGTTGATGGTCAGTAGCAACTTCTGGTTCAAATACCCCAAAACAAGCTCAAAAGTAGAACATTTTGTTTCCATACTGGGAAAGTGTTTTGAATCACCTTGGACTACCAAAGCTCTGTCTGAGACTGCGTGCGAGGATTCGTCAGAGAACAAGCAGAGGCTGGCCGGGGCCTCCTCTCTCCTGAAACATCTGTCCACAAGTAGCGAGGAGGGAAGTCCGAACCAGTCCGCTCCGGTGCTGACTAAATCTGGGGTTACCTTTTCTGCTGAAAAGCTTGTGAGTGAAATTCCCTCCATGACTATACTGGACAAGAAAGATGGCGAGCAAGCGAAGGCCCTGTTTGAGAAAGTTCGGAAATTCCGTGCTCATGTGGAAGACAGTGATTTGATTTATAGACTCTATGCCATACAGACAGTTATCAAAACTGTGAAATTTATTCTGATACTGTGCTACACAATGACGTTTGTTGCTTATATAGATTTTGACCATGTGTGTGAGCCTGAAATAAAGCATTTGACTGGATATACCAAGTTCCATTGTACACATAACATGGCATTTATGTTAAACAAGCTCCTTGTTAGTTATATTGCTCTCATATGCGTTTATGGCGTGATCTGCATATACACACTGTTCTGGCTTTTTCGGCGACCACTCAAAGAGTATTCCTTTGAAAAGGTCAGAGAGGAGAGCAGCTTCAGTGACATTCCTGACGTTAAAAATGACTTTGCATTCCTCCTCCACATGGTTGATCAATACGACCAGCTGTATTCAAAGCGTTTTGGGGTTTTTCTCTCTGAGGTGAGTGAGAATAAACTTCGCGAAATCAGCCTGAACCATGAATGGACCTTTGACAAGTTACGCCAGCATGTAACGCGCAATCCTCAAGATAAGTTGGAACTTCATCTTTTCATGCTATCTGGAGTTCCGGATGCTGTGTTTGATCTCACTGACTTGGAAATTCTGAAACTAGAATTAATCCCAGAAGCCAAAATAACAGCGAAGATCTCACAAATGATAAACCTTCAGGACCTGCACTTCTACCACTGTCCTGCCAAAGTTGAGCAGACAGCTTTCATTTTCCTTCGTGATCACCTCCGATGCCTTCATGTCAAATTCACAGATGTTGCAGAGATTCCTAGCTGGGTATACATGTTGAAAAATTTAAGGGAACTCTATTTGGTGGGTAACCTGAACTCCGAAAACAACAAACTGATTGGACTTGAGTCTCTGCGAGATCTCAGGCACCTAAAGATTCTGCACCTCAAAAGCAACCTGACAAAGATCCCTACAAACATAACCGATCTGTCACCACATCTGTTAAAGTTGGTTATTCATAATGATGGTACAAAGCTCTTAGTGCTGAACAGTTTGAAGAAAATGATGAACCTTGCAGAACTGGAACTGCATAACTGTGAACTGGAACGAATCCCTCACGCCATCTTCAGTTTGAACAACCTTCAGGAACTTGATCTCAAATCCAACAACATTCGCACCATTGAAGAGGTCATCAGCTTTCAGCACCTGAAAAGACTAACGTGTCTCAAACTTTGGCACAATAAGATCATCACTATTCCACTGTCAATCAGCCATGTTAAAAACCTGGAGTCGCTCTATCTCTCACACAACAAGCTGGAATCTCTGCCTTCACCATTATTCACACTTCTCAAGTTGCGGCACCTCGATGTTAGCCATAATTCTATAGTGGTAATCCCGCCAGAGGTGGGCTTTCTCCAGAACCTCCTATACTTTGCCATTACCGGTAACAAAGTCGAGGCACTTCCCAAGCAACTGTTCAAATGCACCAAACTAAGGACTTTATGCTTTGGCCACAACTGTATCTCCTCTGTTCCAGAGAAAATTGGCCAACTTTCTCAGCTCACACATCTGGAATTGAAGGGAAACTGTCTGGATCGTCTCCCAGCTCAGCTTGGTCAGTGTTCCCTCCTTCGCAGGAGCTGCCTGATTGTGGAGGATCATCTCTTTGACTCACTTCCAATTGAAGTAAAAGAGAGCATCAATCAGGAAACCAGTGTTTCTTTTGCTAATGGATGTAAATGTTTAAGTGATGGACGGTAGTTACATCCTATATGACATTAAATGTTGGCCATTTTCTCTCAAGTCTTTGTTTTTTAAGTGCATTAGTGCTAGAAAACAGCTAGTGCACATGTTGGGCTTTTAGGGTTATACACAGTAAACATAGCAAATACAGGGTTGGTACCACTGGAAATGTCATGGCTTGTGTCTTGTCTTGATTTTTTCCCTTTTCCTTTTATTTTTAGTTACTGTAAATGCATAGCAGCACCTCAAACACCTTATACTTCTTAACCATAGTATTCACAAACATCTATAGTAGATTAATGGGAAAAAATATATTATTGAAAGTGTACCCCTTTTACTGCTGTGACTTAATTTGCTTGTTTTTTTTAAGATTAACTTTATTATGAGTATTTTGTGTAAAGAGTGAGATTAAAAGGATTGATGCCTGCATGTATCTCCAGCCAGATCTGACAATGAAGTATAAAGCTGCAACCTGGAGATGATTAGCTTAGCGTAGCTTAGCAAAAAGATTGGAAAAATGGGGAAACCGCTACAATCTGTGAACTGACCATGAAATTAAATCCATGCATATTTAAAGTTAAATAAGTAGAATACAGTATTCAGCTTGTTTGTTGAACAAAATCAAGTGGTTTCTCTGTATTTTTAATCTTTAATGTTGAGCTCAGCTAACTGTAGCTCCATATTTAGCATGAATACGTTCTATCAATCTTTTCATGTAACTCTCACAAAAAAAGTATTATTTCTCAAAAATGGCAGCACTTTCATCAGATAACGTTAGTTTCTTTGTTTTTGTGTGTGCCTTATTTATTTTCTGTTGTTTTTGCTGTTTTCCCTTTTAACAAACATTTTATATTTAATACTTAAAGTTAACAGAAGCATCTCTTTCCAGAAGCAATGTTGTCATTTTCCTGGATAATAAACAGAGCTCACTGGTTTTACTGTTTTTATCAAGCACTTTATCTCTACTTTCAAATCGAATCTGTACGAGCGATAACAGGGTGCCGTTTATGGGAAGTGGCATCGCTTTTTGGATTTTTTTCAATGCATTTCAGTTACAATTACAGAGATGTGCTTAAAACTACAAAACCAAATCTATCATGGAGACTGTAAATGTGGATGTGATTTGAATCCTTTAAAAATCTCAACTTCATCTATATTGTTATTATAAACATTTCAAAACTGTTAGTGTCAGGAACCTCACTTCTCATGCACAACAAGCTGAATCTTTACCTTCACTGTTATTCACCCTCCTCATGTACTACCACTAACCAATAAACCACAATTAACTGTATATTCTCATTAAGCGTATTCCACCTTCTTTAGGCTTATCGTGCATTTTGAAGATGTACACCTATATGTTGAAATTTCCATTAACCTCTTTTGCTACTGCTTCAGTCTTTAATCTTTTTTTCTCTTTTTTAATCAATAGACACCATTTTCCTTTCAGCCAAATCACAAAGATGCTTTGTTTAATTATTGTTTTTACTTTAACTGTTACGTCTAGTTATGTTGTACTGTTCTGATCAGTATATTTCTCATGTATTTTTTGTGTACTTACATTGTGTTTTCTGTGTTTTTCTGCACAGCACTTTGTAAACCTGTTTCTAAAATGCGCTATGTTACATAATAAAGGAATGCTATACAGTTATTATTGCTATTATGAAATGCTAGAAATTATAATAAAATTGCACTGCAATACTTTTATGCACAAAAATGTGAAATTATTCTGTATATTTGTGTTGTGAAAGCCTTGATGTCTCATATCTCACTGTTCTTTTTGCTTGTTTGTTCTTTGCTTAGCCAGAACAGGTTTTTCTCCTCATCCACCAGTAAGAAAACTGCTGACATGTTGTTTTACCAGACACCTGCACACACCTGGGCTACATGAAAAAATGCAACAGTCACATTTTACCTGACAACCTTATGCTTTTTAACAGAGTTTCTGTTAAAACCATTATTGCCTATGTACTACATCAGGGGTGGGCAACTCCAGGCCTCGAGGGCCGGTGTCCCTGCAAGTTTTATATGTGTCCTTGAACCAACACAGCTGATTTAAATCGCTAATTTAGCTCCTCAACATGTCCTGAAGTTCTCCAGAGGCCTGGTAACGAACTAATCATGTGATTCAGGTGTGTTGACGCAAGGTGAGAACTAAAACCTGCAGGACACCGGCCCTCGAGGCCTGGAATTGGCCACCCCTGTACTACATTCATCACCAGTTTATTGCAGGGTCAACACAGAAAGAGTCTCACACATTCAAATTCATACCTACAGCCCATTTAGAATGAGCATTTAACCTAATAGACATAGTTTTGGACTGTGGGAGGAAGCTAAGGCGGAGAGGATTCATAACAGGAAGAACATGCCAATTAAAGCTATCCAGGATGAAATTAATGAAATAGATCTATCTATCTATCTATCTATCTATCTATCTATCTATCTATCTATCTATCTATCTATCTATCTATCTATCTATCTATCTATCTATCTAT